ATGGATTTCCATTGATTCATTAAATGGTTATTGAATTCCAGAACATCGGCAAGGGACAAAAAACATAGCTATAAATATGAATAAGATCTGTGCCATTCGTTCTTAGGACTCACATCCTAATTAGGAAAGCTGTAAGGTAAACCACTAACTATAGGCAACATGAGAGGAGCTTTAGCAGGGAACATGCAAGGCACTGTGCACGTAAGCAATGTTTAGAGATACAGGTCCCAATACCTGTAATAGAAAGACCAAGATTAAAGGTATCGTTCAATAATACCTATATCACAAACATATTGGTAAGTCTGTTTTGTTATACAGGTGACTGGAGATATGTCAATAGGCTGCTGTGTGATGCTGATAAGTTCAGACTGCACTGTGTGCTTTCAATTTTTATTCATATTTGGTTTTTAGATCTTTCAGTGCCTTCGAATCATTTCAAGCTTCATTGTTATTCAGACACTCACTGTAAAATGAAATTTCAGATCATAAAATGTCCTTGAAAATAGAAACTTCTTGCCATGATACTAATGTTTTACTTTCCAGTCTTTAAAATATTATCGTTTTTAATTTACATTTCTCATGTATACTCATTTAATAACCAACTTTAAATTCAGTAATCACATTTTCCCCTAAGCTTTGATTAGAACAATTATAGTGAATGAAAATAAGAAAGTAATTTCTGTAAAGAGATTCATAAAGCATCCTTTTCAAGCCATAAAAGCAGCCTTGGAAGTAGGTCTTTGTTTTTTGTTTGTTTGTTTGTTTGTTTGTTTTTTCAGCATCAGGGGTACAAACAAAGTCTTTCTGTTCTGCTTAAGACACACAGATCCAGAACTCTTCCATGATCTCCTCATCTTCTTTGTCTCGGTCTCTCCTAGTGCCATGAGTCCTAGCAGAAGACTCAGCACACAAAAGGTGCCCAACAAATGCAGCTGAATGTCTGTCTGACCTTCTTAGCTAGATTAAGAAGGCACCTAGAAGCTTCAGCAGAAAGTCCCCTACAAAATAGAAACCAATAACTGAGTTTTCACACCTACCCCAATTTTCCTTTAGCCTAAACTCTCTAGGCCAATGTTTATTGTTGGTTTGCCTTATACAATAAGAAGGAACATCAGCCCACATCTCAGGGGAAATGGCCACACCAACTTATGCTATAAACTGACTGGTAGCACACGGCTGACTATTCTCTGTCACCTCACTACATTGAACCCTGAAGACAATATTCCCATAATTTCCTCAGACTGGCATCCTGAATGTTGTGTTTTTTAAATGCTAATAAAATGTAAAAGGAGGAAAAAAAAAAAATAAAGGCTGCAAACACTGTGATTAGCAGGGGTTTTTTTACAACATCTTTAACCCATTGGTGTAAAACCAAGCCAAAGCATGAGATGTGTTTTACAAAGACCCATAGACTCAGAACGGGTCTCTAGAACTCTGTTAGGGTGAGAGACAATACAATTTTTTTTGCATGTGTGGATCCCTCTAACTCAAATTCTCCTCTTTGGGAGTGGAAAGATTGAGGAAGTAGGCTTTCACTTCTTATATCTTCACTAGAGGCCTGGTGCATGAGATTCGTGTACTGGGGGGGGGGGGGATCATCAGCCCAGCCTGCGCCCTCTCACAGTCCAGGCCCTCAGGGGATGTCCACCTAAGCCAGCAGTCAGATATCCCTCTCAAAGTCCAGGGCTCTCTCAGTCTGGGACCCCTTGCTCCTTATCACCCATCGCAGCAGAGGCGGGAGAAGCTCCCGCCACCACTGCTGCACTCACCAGCCATGAGCCGGGCTTCTGGCTGAGTGACGCTCCCCCTGTGCCCTGTGGAAGCACACTGACCATCACAGGGCAGCTCCTGCATTGGGCATCTGCCCCCTGGTGGTCCTACCAACCAGTCAGTCCACCATTTGGTCAATTTGTATATTAGGCTTTTATTATATAGGATTCTTTCATCCCCAATTTCTCAGATTTCCCATACACACCTACATTCAGACATGTCACTCATACAAACACAGTCAGTCACACTCACAGATAAGTAAGACAGAATATAAAGTTTGTCACAACTAATAAAGACCCCAAGTCACTGTTTCTTATGGGAGACAGATGTTGCTTTCTCTCTCGGATAACAATCTGAATGTAGGCAAATCGAGTTCTGGCCCACAAAACATAGCTTCCATCTTGTTACTCTGCCTTGGTGGCCTCCAGCCACCTGATCTGAGGCCAGCCAGCAGGAAGGGCAAAGGCAGACAGATGGAGAAAGGACCAGGAGCAGCTCATCTGTCCTTTAAGGAAGTTCCTCAGACCATCCATATAGCACTTCTCCTTAATTCCCCTTGGCCCGAACCCAATATCGTGACTGTACTCAGCCACAATGGGAACTCAGAAATGCCACTTTGATTTTTCAAACTTTGTTCCCAACTGACATATTTAGGCGTTATTCCTGGAAAGAGAGGGGAGAGTGAACTTTGGTGGACAACGAGCAAGCTGCCGTGGGCTTGCTTCCTCTTCTCCCTGACATGATGTAGTGTGTGGGATCTCATTCTCGGAGGATTCAGGAAGATTCCTTTCCTTGTTTACCCACCCTTACACTGCCTTCCTTTCCACCACTTAATCCACAAAGATCCTTATTCTTCTGTATGAAAACAAATTCCTGCTCAAAGAAGGGATGGGAGCCATTAGTGAAGGGCAGACCAACTGTTGCTATTTAAGCTAGTGAGTAGAATAATCATCGTCCCCTCATCTGCGGTTCTGATTTTCATGGTTTCAGTTATCCAAGCCACAGTCTGAAAAAAATGAAATGGAAAATCCCAAAGACAAGCAATTCGTAAATTTTATTTATTTTTTTAAGTATGTTTTTACTGATTTGAGAGAGAGATAGACAGATAGAGACAGAGACAGAGAGAGAAAGAGACATATCTATCCCTGACAGAGAATTGACCTTTCTGTGCACAGGATGATGTTCAACCAACTGAGCCACACCTGCCAGGGCAACAATTCGTAAGTTTTAAATTGCACACCCTTCTGAGTAGGGTGGTGAAATCCCACACTGTCCCTATCTCTCCGGACAGGACGTGAATCATTCTTTTGTTCATCTTATCCATGGTGTACATGCTAGCCACCCATTGGTCACTCAGTAGCCCTGTGTGTTATCAGATCAACTGTCTTGCATGCAAGTCACCCTTATTGTATTTACTAATGGCCCCAAAGCACAGGAGTAGTGATGTTGTAATTTGGGAAGCTAAAGAGAAGCATAAAGTGCTTCCTTTAAGTGAAAAACTGTCTATCTATATATAGAAGAAGAAAAAAACAATATATTTAGGGCCCGGGCCTATCCTCAGTTTCAGCAGCCACTGGGGGTCTTGGAATGTAATCCCCCAGATAAGACAGGACTACTCTACTACAAAGTTGAATAGGAGAATCTGAGCCAAATTCTAATCCTCGGCTCGTGTGTTTGCTATCTAAATTGAGAACACAGTCCGTTTTAATTGAACACAAATCTCCTGTTTGATCCTGAGCACTAGAATAGGGTTTTCATTTGCCGGTAAGTGGATTTTGGCATTTTTCCCAAAAGAAGCTTACCTTTAGTGATAGCTACAGTATTATCTCATTCAGGTCCGAAACAAATATTCTCTGGAGGGACCCCGGCCTCTGTGGGCAGCAGAATCAGTCATTGAAATACAAATTTAAGCTGCAAACATAGCCCTGGTTATCTAGGCAGTTGTTTTCACGCTTCACAAAGCACCTGCGGTATCTTTGAAATCTCTAGTGTCAAAGGAGGGAGCAAAGCACGCAGAGCCCACCCACGCCCACACACATACCCATCCCACCTTACTTGGTCTATGGGGCTGGCTCTGCTTTAAAATATGGTTGTAAACAGTTGGCCTCATCGTTCCCAGCCTGAATTCTATTTCTTGTGGGGTTTTTTTTCCCTTGTGGACCTTACAGCCTTGAAGTTCCTCGGCCTCTCAGGAGTTGCTAATGAAGAGGGGTAAAAAGAGAAGGGTCATGTGGGAACTCTTTTGCTGACCTGTCATCATGACATATTTTTGCAAAACTTATTTAACTTGTTTAAAAACATCACGATGATGCCTGCAAAATAGATCCCCACCATGTCTTGATTCGTGAGATTATACTAGCAAGTCTCCTTGTCTCCCTGGCAGTCACAACCTATCTGTATGATTGAAATTCTTCCTTCCTTTCTTTCTTTCTTTCTCTTTCTTTCTTTCTTTCTTTCTTTCTTTCTTTCTTTCTTTCTTTCAATATATTTTATTGGTTTGTTACAGAGAGGAAGGGAGAAGGATAGAGGATTAGAAACATCGATGAGAGAGTCATCGATCAGCTGCCTCTTGCACACCCCCTACTGGGGATATGCCGCAACCAAGGTACATGCCCTTGACCGAAATCGAACCTGGGACCCTTCAGTCCGCAGGCCTACGCTGCTCTATCCACTGAGCCAAACCGGTTAGGGCTCTTTTTTTTCTTTTTTCTTTTTTTAAGTGATGTAAATTTTGCTTTCTCATTCTTAAGACATTTTTATTGATTTTTATTGTGTGAATATATATGTTGCCTGAAAAAAAAAACACAATTTGAATATTTGATTGAGATCAACGTGCACAGGAAATGATGACCCCAGACAAGACACGGTAAGTTTGCGTAGCACAGCTCCACGGCAACTTTATTGCTATCAGAGTCCCCTCAGCAGCCCACCTCATCTGTCAGCTATCCCGTGGCGACGAAATAAGAGAGTGACAGCACTTGTCATCTTCCCCTTAATTACCAAAAGCGCCATCTCCCCTTTCTGCTAGCTCAGCTACTTAAAGTCACAAAGCCACATCTCTCAAGGAATCGTTTTTTGACATATGTGTACCCCTTCTATAATTTTCGTAACGCCGAGTACCCCTCGTACTCATGAGAACGTAGCTAAGCACGGTGCAGTGCCTATCCCCACCAAACTCTTCCGGGACCCCTGGGGGTACGCGTACCACACTTTGGGAAACACTGGTTTAAGGGGACCCATTCTAAATAAAATACTCCAAGAACGTGTTTCTCTCGGCATCCGTTTCTTCGTTTTCCAGCTCATGTTTCTTCATGGCCACAAAATACCGAATGAACGTGTCTCCGAGGGCCTGTCGGCAGACACGCATCTTCCTCCAGCGCGGCCAGCGCATCTTCCAGCTTCAAAGGAATCCTGGGAGGCGGCGGGGCCGGACCAAGCCCGGGGCTGTCCCCCTCGGGGCCGGGCAGGGCATCACCGCTGCCCTGAAGCCCGTCCAGGCCCGCGGCCACCGTGGCGGCCAGCACCAGGTAAGGGTTGGCCGTGGCGGAGCCCAGGTTGTTCTCCACCCGGGCGCCTCTCTCCCCGTGACACTTGACATTGAAGGCGCAGCTGTTGTCGTTGTAGCCCCACGTGGCGGGCACCCTGTCCTTCGGATCCTGGCGCTCCTTGGAGTAGCGTTTGCGGCAGCTGCCAGCGGGAGCCAGCAGGCAGCTGAGCGCGGCGGAGTGCTGCAGGAGCCCGGCCAGCCAGCGCCTGCCGGTGGTGCTGAGCAGCTGGGTGGGCTCGGTGCGGGTGCTGGTGCAGGTGCTGGTGCAGGTGCCGGTGCCAGTGCAGAACAGATTGTTCTTCCCTCCCACGTCCCACAGGCTGTGAGACAATATTCCCGAGTTGCAGAGCCCAGTCTCGACGAAGAAGCTGGTGATGTAGTTGTGCTTGCGGGCCACCTCCTGGACGCCCGCTCTGAGGGTAAACGCGTTGTCCGCGGCGCCGATGCCAAAGGCGGGCCGCAGGCAGAGCTCCACCTGGCCGGGCCTGGTGGAGGAGGAGAAGCTCTCCACCGTGGCCCCCGCGCCATCCAGGCCGACCACCAGCTCCTGGAGGAAGGGCTGGTGGTGATCGCCTAGCAGGAGGGGAGCCGGGAAGGACACGGTCTTGGGGTGCATGGCCTCGGGCAAACCGAACAGGCAGAAGTCGTAGAGGAAAGCGGAGAGCAGCGAGAAGCCCGCGCCCCGCAGCCGGCGCAGCTGCCGCCGGGCCAGGTGCCGCGGGGACGTCCGCACCGGCTCCCCCGTCACCGTGACCGGCTCGCAGATCACCCGCGCCGTCCGCGCCGCCCACGGCAGCGCCCGGAAGGTGGACAGCTCCGGCCGCAGGACGATGTCACTGTGGAAGCACGTGGCCCTGAGGTGATCCACGTCGCTGCCGCCCTTGGGATTGGGTATCGATTCCAGGTAACCTCGGGGCATGAGAACACCTTGGGCCACTTTTTCCTAAAGTGAACGGATAGAGCGATTAAGTTTTGAAACTTGAAAACAAACATAAATGGGCAAGGAAGGGTTGAAGGGGTGGAGGTGCGGGGAGGGGGGCTGTTAAACATCAATTAGTAAGCATTAATTTAGTTTTAAATTTTTTTTTTGAAAGAAAACGCCAATGGTACTTTTGTAAGCAACTCATTGTTTTTAGCCTTGAAAGGTTTCATAGGCTCTCCAATCTGAAAACAATCTTCATAAATAAAAGGTATGATGATTAAGGAACTGTCTTTCGAGACCAAATGGCAAAGGTAAAGTAAAGTACGAAATTATTTGGAACTAGAGGCCCCTTGCAGGAAGATTCCTGCAACAGGGCTTCCTGCTGTGGTCTCTGCTCCCCCACCTGCTTCCCTTCCTTCACCACCGCACTTGCTTCTTTTTTTTTTTTTTCTTTTTCTTTTTTTTAATATATTTTATTGATTTTTTACAGAGAGAAAGAGAGAGGGATAGAGAGTTAGAATCATTGATCCGCTGCCTCTTGCACACCCCCTACTGGGGATATGCCCGCAACCAAGGTACATGCCCTTGACTGGAATCGAACCCGGGACCCTTAAGTCTGCAGGCTGATGCTCTATCCACTGAGCCAAACCGGTTCTGGCCACACTTGCTTCTTGCAGCTTCGCTCCCTTCTGTGGTGCTTGGCTTCTTTCTAGCTGTCTTCAGTCTTCACTCTGGCCTGGATATGCAAAGTAACCACCACCTTGGTTGGGTTAATTTGCATACTTGCCCTGATTGGCCTGTGGGTGTGGCCTGTGGTGTAGCGAAGATACCGTCAATTTGGATGTTTCTCTTTTATTAGAGAGGGTGGTCATGACCAGAAGTACTTTCCAAGGCTCTTTTTGTTTTGTGGCATCGTTCCTAATACTTCAGATAAGGCTTGCTTTGGGCTTGTCCTGCTGTAATCCCCATAGCAAACAGCCTCTCAGAAGTCTGCAGTAAAGAACTGCAGGTCCTCCTCAGAGAGCTGAGTGTAGTCAGTCCTAGACACACACCTGAGAAGCCAGGTCTGCGGACAGCTACCCTCCTCTCTTCATTCGCTTTTACACCCACTAAGAATGAGCTACCTCACAGTCTCAGAGTCCCAAAAACCTTGCCTGGGAATGAGAACATATATCTGCATGATTACAGCTTCCAAAACGTTATAGCTTTCAAGTCTGTATGAACTGGGGCTCACCAAATCTGACTTCTAGTCCTGGCTCTTACATTAATTATTTGTGTGAAGTTAGGCAACTCGGACCATGTACCTTCGCATCCGTCTCTATGAAACAGAAGCTAGACTAGGTGATCGCTATGGCACTTTTAGCCATGTACCCTCTTGGGTTCAATAGATTTGGTCATTTATTTAACTTTTGCTATGTGCCAAACAACAGGAAAGGGATGAGGTGATAAAGTCAAGCAGATACACACAAAAACACAATTTCTAGAAATGGTGTCATAGGAATATCAACCAGGCTTCATGTGTTGAAGTTTACATTAATGGACAGAGAAAAAGGCGTCTATAAAGTGTGGTTCCCATGATGTCACTGAGCCTTATGAGGTTAATAAAACGTACTGTGCCGAAACCCATTTGGCTCAGTGGATAGAGCGTCAGTCTGCAGAATGAAACGTCCCAAGTTCGATTCCGGTCAAGGGCATATACCTTGGTTGTGGGCACATCCCTGGTAGGGGGTGTGCAGGAGGCAGCTGATTGAAGATTCTTTCTCATCGATGTTTCCAACTCTCTATCCCTCTTCCTTCCTCTCTCTAAAAAAATCAATAAAATATTTAAAAATAAAATAAAATGAAAATGTACTGGCATTCTGCAAGCCAGATTGTTTCCTATGTTACCTCCAAACCCCAAGAGCATGGTTGCCAAGGTGTTGATGTAGCAGACACAATCTACCAGTCCACTCTTCTGCCTTCGATTGTGAGCCTCCTTCCCTTTCCACTGTCTCTACACATACTTTCAAATGCCATTTGACTTGGCTGGGCCAAATGTGCTTTCAGCAGTAATAATGTTGAGTAAGGTGAGCACTGCTCATCTATTGCCTGATTTTTTAAGTCATTCATAGACTTGTATATATACATGTCACACACATACACACATTATGGGATTTTAGAGCACTTTAGAATGAAATCCTTTCATTCAAATTTTCATTGTAAGAAAATAATGTGATTTCCCTAACTTGTCATATTTTTGTTTGAAAATCTGTACGTTAGTTCTGTATCTAGAATGAGGAGTGATGTATTTTATTCATGCGGCTTCCGAGAGTTGTTGCAATTTAAATCTGTGTTTGCACGCACTTGATTGTGAACAATAGAGAACAGCTTGCTGCCATGTTACTCTTCATGAATTTAAAGAATAGTAAAAAGTGAACACTTTACCCTTCAGGTTATTTAATCTGTGTTTTTCTGAGCACTCTTTTAAACTGTCATTTTCTTTTAGGAACATTCAAAATGCAAACTACTCTTTATTAGTAGTGGGAAATACATAAATATATACACAGAGACATTGTTCATGACGATTGTTGTCTTACATTATTTATATTTAAAAATATAAACAGTAGGGCAATTTCACACTGCAATATAAATCACCAGAGAATCAATAAAAATTCTTACAGAATAGCTCCAATCTCTATGACCACTGACATTTTGGGCCATATTAAAAGTCACCTTTTGAAACAACCAAAGAATTAGTCATGAGTTCTATATCATGTTTTGATTAAATCAAAGATAGAATCTGCATATAACTTAAATAAAAACTAATCCTTTGATAGAACAGATAGTACAAGTTGGTTGTGTAGTTTAAATAAACTAATATTTGTAAGGCAATGAGCATAATGGCGGACACCTGGTGAGTTTTCTCTAAAATGTTGATACCATCATTTTCAAAGGTTCCCCATTTGGCCTTTTCCAATTATGTAACAGTTTTTTCTCTAGTTTTTGTAGATGGCTTGTTTAAAAAAAAAAAAAAAAAAAAAAATCCATGTTTTTTCAATTTTATAAGAAAGAACACTTAACTCAAATTAACAATAAAAGGAAATATAAAAGCAGAGCTGAAGGCAGAAGGTGCAGTTAAAAAGAGAGAGAGAGGCCGGGACCGGTTTGGCTCAATGGATAGAGCGTTGGCTTGGGGACTGAAGGGCCCTGGGTTCGATTCCGGTCAAGGGCATGTACCTTGGTTGCGGGCATATCCCCAGTAGGGGGTGTGCAGGAGGCGGCTGATCGATGACTCTCTCATCGATGTTTCTAACTCTCTATCTCTCTCCCTTCCTCTCTGTACAAAAATCAATAAAATATATTTAAATAAGAGAGAGAGAGAAACAGTGGAAATGGAAGAGAAGAACCACTGACTAATGTTCCAGCTCTACCATTAACTGCCTGTACTATTTTTTAAAAGCTTTTCTTAACTTCCCAAGGCTTTATTCTCCTCATCTATAAGGAAGTCAATGAATTAAATTATGTTATATCTTTCCATGGTCTAACAAGAATTTTCAAATTGATACTTTATTTTCCCCAAATAGAAAAAAAAATAATTACTTTATAAAGATTAAAATTACTTTTCTCTAAGCCATTGGCAAATTCAAATTATTGACTCCACTCTTTGTTTAATGAACTTCCCATACAGAATTGTATGTCTATACATATACAGGTAGATTTATATATATACAAACATACAATGTTTAAATATATTTTTATTTATTTCAGAGAGGAAGGGAGAGAGAGACAGAAGCATCAATGGTGAGCAGGCCTGGCTGCTCAGGTGTGTGTTGTAGGACTGAAAAAGAACCAATTCTTTACTGTAGACTTCTGAGAGGCAGTTAACTATGAGGATTACAATACGACAAGCCATTGATCTGCTGCCTCCTGCATGCCTCTCCACTGGGGATCGAGCCTGCAAACTGGGCATGTGCTCTGACTGAGAATTGAACCATGACCTCCTGGCTCATAGGTCAATGCTCAACCACTGAGCCATGCCATTTGAGCCAGACACATGGTGTTTAGATTGGTTTGCACAGATTAATCTATTTTTAATGTCTAGTCATGATAAATTTTCCAAAAACAATTTAATCCTAAATTATAAATATTCATGCTGCAAATAAATACTCATCCTTATTTATACCTTCAAAAGTTCCAAAATAATTTGAGTTGTTTTGTTAAAAAAATATGTAGCTACTGTAAAATCATTAAATAATAATAATTTTAGAAAACTGGAGTTCAGAATAAACAGCAATTGCCCTATCTAAATTCCAGAAAAAAAATAAAAGTGATTCTTCTATATGAGACATTGAATAAAATAATGGAAAATATTTTCAATAGCAATAAAAAAAATAGAATGCAGAAGTTTTCTCTGTACATCAATTGTATCAGTGCTCAGCAAATGTAGGGAGCATATTAAATTATATTTTCATAAAGGAGTTCCATTGAGGAACTAGAGTAAGGTCTTAAAAATGTAGTTTCAGATGCCATTAGTAGATTAAATTATTAGAAGTTGGAAAACACTGAATAACAAGTTTTATATTGAAGTCTCTGGCAAGTGCCTAAAGTGCCAGTTATGGTTTCTTATTGATTGAAAGAAAGTCATGTGAATTAGATCCTGGGCCTATCCACAATACATTTCACATACATTTCACATTTTGTTATCAAAAGTAACCAACATATGCTCTTGCCTGGATAAAGAGAAAACAATATCTGCAGGCTGATCTAAAGAATTTCTTTTCTTTTTTTTTAAATATATTTTATTGATTTTTTACAGAGAGGAAGAGAGAGGGATAGAAAGTTAGAAATATCAATGAGAGAGAATCATCGATCAGCTGCCTCTTGCACACCCCCTACTGGGGATGTGCCCACAACCAAGGTACATGCCCTTGACCGGAATCGAACCTGGGACCCTTGAGTCCGTAGGCGGATGCTCTATACATTGAGCCAAATCGGTTTCGGCTAAAGAATTTCTTAAGAAACAAATTTGAATCTGTTAGCATTGTTTTAAAAGGTGTTTTGAAGATGCACAGTTTTTTCCCAGCATAAAACCTATGAGAAAAACTACAATTTGATATTACAGTGATAACAATTATATATTTTAATTTACAACATGTTTAACTATTATATTTTTATATAACATGAGGGATGTCTCATTCCTAAAAAGTCATGTTTCAGTTGCACAATACTAGTGTACCTGTCATTAAAATGAAGACATCATAAAATTGAAAAAAATCTTACAATCTTAGAACATACCTAAAAATATAATATTTCTTAATATCACTATTTTGGAGAACTTAATAATCATTAAGTCATCCAACAATAGAGTATTTTCTTATCAGAAATAGAAGCTAAAAGGGACATGCTTTTTATCTAGGAAATTTCTTTCTATTTAATTATTTTTCCCCCTTTTATATTTGCTCTTGGGTCTTCTGTTGCAATTTTCTCATGTCAAACAAAATATAATCTTCATAATTGCAGTAAGAGAGAAAAGATAATTCTGTAGAGGGAAATTATTCAAAGCAGAAGGACTAAAATTACCAGTCTTAATTAGTTTTATATTTCTATTGGGTAAAGGAATGGCTGTTTGGGAGCTGAAATTATGTGTTCAGCTCCTTGGGGAGCAATAATGTGTTTGGGAAGGGACAAGAGAAGAAACGAAATAAAGTATTGGTTTTCAGCTGAAGTTGCTGTGTGGATTACAATAAAATAAGAAAGAGTAATAAGGACCGTTGGCTTGCTAATGGTCATGAAATTGCATTCAGTCATAACTTGACTTGTAAAACTCACCTGGAAGAAGTGTGCAGGGATACTCTTAGACCTGGACACCCCATGAAGATCTGTTGCTTCAAATCGCACAAACTGAAGGTGATTTTTGGCCATCTCTTGTTTAATGTGCTTCATTCTAGAGGAGACTTGAGGTACCTTTGGAATTTGTGTGCTGTCCCCAGTGTCATCTGTAAAACAGAGAATGGTTCTAAAGCATTAGACCATGATGAAATGAGAAGCAAAAGGAGGCTGGTTAGCAGCAGATTATTCTTTATGAATATTAACTATGACATTCATGTCATTGGCTTAGAGCTAGAAATCTTACCCTTCCTACTTAGCCTCACGTATTCCCAAGAACATTGTCTCTAAAGGGCCAAGGAGATTGTTTATCACTTGGGACTAGGTGAAAGTGAACATCATTTGCATAAGTATATAGCAATATCATATGTAAATACTTACTGAAAATGCCTTTGCTTATGGAAATTAAAACATATTTGCATAATTAGACAGCTTTGGCATCATATAAATCTGTATATAGATGACTACCATTGAAAAGAAAACACTTTGAGCTCTTTGAACTGGTAATATCTAAATTAAAAGTTCTGGTATGTTTTGTTTTGTTCTGTTTGCCAATAGGGCTTTTTATCTTTAACATGTCATCTGAATCAAAGGCATCTACATCTTTCTGTCAAATTTAAAATTTGTGTAAATAAGCAAACAAAATAATTTTTCAAGAATGAGAGTATAGGAGATGAAAGCTCTAGACTGAGTACTCAATTTTAGCATTAGAAACCTAAAGCAACCAGAGAACAAAAAATGGGATGACAAAATGGGTACAGGCAGACCCCAGATACCAATAATCACTAAAATTAGAAGCCAAAAAAAGTCTTTTCAAGACGTTTAAGATAGTCTTCAAATTCTAAAACTTTACAATTAGAAGAGACTTTGGAGGATAAATAATCTAATCCAATGGATCAGAGAGGTATGAGGTGCCCCAAATCACACTCTCAGTTCATTGCCAAAATTGAAACCAAAATCTGAACCTTTGATTTCCAGTGGATAACTGAATATATAATTTTATGGTGATGAATTATAAAGCATATAGAGGGGTCAGGCACGTAGTACCCATCACAAATGTTATCTATCATCCACACCTTTGGAGAGGTGATAGACTGTAGGGATTCAGCACAAACACTGAAGACCCTCTGCCAACCTTCCAATGTTGCCTTTCCCCCAAAGACTTATGCTCTCTGTGCCTCAGCATTCTCATTGATACAGTGCACCTAGAGGCTTGTTATGACAATTAAACAAGTTATTTAACAGTTCCTGGGAGACAGTAAACACCGTATCGGTGCTTCTTAAATGCATCAAGTGAGCACCATTACTGTAAACCTAGTAATGGTACTCTGATCATATGTGTATTGAATACCCATCAATCTGTCACATCCCTGACACTGAGCAGCTTTAATTTTAAAGTAATACCTGAGTATCCTTTTTGACATATAATTAGGCTTTAAAAATAAGCATAAAGACGAACCGTTTAAAACATAGATTAAGTGGATTGAAAGTACATGAAGCATGAGGAAAACAAATTACTGGTTTCACCTATGCAAATATATTAGAGATAATGTCCTGTTACTGATACATTTGGCTACACTGAGACTCCTGAGGGTTTTTTACTACCTTCCATTTAACACAAACAATTAAGCTGTAGCAATTACAGTACTTCATGCTAAATTAGCAGTTGCTGTGTTCCCAACCTATTCTGAATTATTGGGTATTCGGCCCAAGTTAAATAATTCTCCTTACAGAAAATAAAATTTATAAGCAAGTTAAAATATGGAAAATTTCAGATAATCAATGTTCTAAACATCATAAGCAATTAAATACTAGTATAAACTACAAATATTGTTTGTTGTTTTTTAATTTACCTTGATTGTTGAAAATATTACAAGTGTCCCCCTTTTTTTCTTCATTTTTCCCCATTGACTCCTCGGCCCCACTCCCATATTTTAGCAACAGAAAAAGTTAGAATGTTAGATTACAGGTAATTCTATTAGTCTTTTACCTTATCTGGATCTTCTAAGTTTCTACAATAAATATGTGTTATTTCTAAAAAAGAAAAATATTGATCCATTCAAGATAGATTTTTTTTTAAGTTACCACTACTATTTATTCTGGACATAGTCTAGGGAGCTGCAGAAATATCCCTGACCTCACACAGCTTTATTTTATTGAATGAAGGAACTGTAGGCAATAAACATGCCATTGAATGCAAAGCTGAGATACAATAATTTGTGGTGAAAAGTGCTGACAAAAAAAGAATAAAACATAATCACCTAGAATAGTTTTAGATCGATAGGATTTGATCACAATGTGCACAGAGCCAACCATTGATTTGGTTTAAGATCACCAAGTTTCACCATGGCTGGATAGTGAGTATATGTATTAGTTTGCTGGGGCTGCCATAACAAATACCAGGTAGCTTTAACAGAAACTTATCTTCTTAAGCACTAGAGGGTAAAGGTCCAAGATCAAGGTGTCAGGGGGGGTTGGTTTCTGCTGAAGCTCTCTCTCCTTGGCTTACAGGTGTCCTTTTTACATGGCCTTCCCTCTGTGTGTGTCCTAATCTCTTTTTCTTATAAGGACTCAGTACTGGACACCAGTCATATTGGACTCAGGAGAGACCCTACACAACTCACTCAACATTAATTGTCTCTTTTAAAATCCCATATGCAAGTGCAATCACATTATGAGGTACTAGGGGCTTGGACTTCAACATATTAATTGGGGGGGGGAGGGGGTACTCAATTTAGTCCATAATAAATTAGCTCTAGTTTCATTAGAGTCCTCATCACCACCTGCATATTCTATGACACACGTTACTGTCTGTCTTTCCCATTTGCATGTCATTTCCAAGAGGCCAGGGGCTGAGCTTCACTTGCTGCTGTAACCCTGGTACCAGTAGCAGTACAGGCATATCATAGGCACTGGAGAGCTTTCATAAGCAAGTGTGTGAGTCAATTCATTCATTCATTCATTCATTCATTCATTTATTCATACATGCTGTGTGATTTGACCTTGTCTAATTAAGAAGCAAAAGTCGACATCACATACTTTTGCATGTTTCCTAAGTATCCATTTTCTCATTTAAAAGTTCATTTCTTTCACCAACTATGAGAACCCTATCCAATCTAATTTCATTTTCAAGGCCGTAACTAATCTCGCTGCATCATTGTCTGAATTTCTTTTCTCCAAATAAATCATACTTGTTAGTTACAATTAAACCTTTTGGTCAGCCCTTCCCAGATGCCCATGATGAATAGCAGGCAGATAATTGCCAGTTCAGGGTCTCATTTGTTTTTCTTACAGTGTGGTTCCTGGGAGGTGTTCTCCTTTCCCATCCCCTCAGCGGACTAATAAATTAAATCAGTGTGCTTTTATACAGGAAGTTTTACCAGTGTAAATGTTTGGGGGGAAGAAATCAGGAAATACATACAAACAAAAAACACATAAAACCTCCAAGCTCCGTAGCAACTAGAAGGCGGTGTTCAGTGACAACAAGGACATAGTTCAGTTGCAGAGAGCATGCCCTAGTCACTTATAAAAGATTAGCTGGGCATGTGGGCTTTCAGAAATACTATTTCAGAAAGTGCACTCGATAAGCACTCAGTTTATGGAATGCTGGCGATAATCTGCCACGCTCCCTTCCCAGGGCCTGCCTCTCTTTATCCACATGGCACCTCTGAGCGCCACCCTGCCAGTGCAAATGTACCCCACCCTCACGCTCACCCCGCAGTGTTGGAAAGCCCAGGTGGCAGAATAACCTGGTACAAAGCAGGGACAGAAAAATAACGTGTGGAAATGTGGGGGGCACATTTCCGAGGGAGGGAGGAGCTTTTTATATACATATGAAAATTCAGAGTAAGAATTATAGAGAAGAAAAGGCAATGTTGAAATGCCTTGCACTTACTAGTATTTGGAGGGTTAGTTTTTTGTGCTTAATTTTAAATTATGTACTTAAAATACACGTGTAAGTGTTTTGTTTGGGTTTGTAAACTTTTTGGTGCTTAGGGCTTAAAAAAAAAAACTTAATCCTGCCCTGGGCCAGAGAGGGAGCTTCTGAATTAACTAAATTGAATCAAAAAATGGTACACAAACACCAAGTTGATCTGTGCAGAGACAGCTCATGACACAAATTCTTTCCTCAGATTTTTTGACTTGAGACTAAGAAATGGAAAATTCCATCTTCTTTTTTTGGCTGAAGGTTACAGATTGCTCATGGAAGAGCTAAGATGGCTGACAGATGTTTTCATATTAGTCTTCCCAATGTTTGAAAAATATTTTGAATTAGTTGACACTCTAATATCAGGAAATTTCATATAAAAATTTTGAGAAGCCTCTTGATAAAACTAGATTTGAAATACTAGATGGATATGTCTTCATTAGCAAACAATTGGCTGGAGCTCTGAGGTAGCCTGGAATGGTGCATGCATGCTCTAATTCATGGGCTGACAAATACCTTCTATAAAGGGCCAGATAGAAAATATTTGCAACTTTGCAGGCCATATGGTATCCAACTACCAACTATGCCATTAGACAACACATAAAGATTCTTTACAAAAACCAGCTCACAAACTAATTTGGTTCATGGGCTATAGTTTGTCACCCTCTACTCTAGTTTCTCACAGCCAGCACCACTTCCTGTTTTCCTAGACCAGCCCACCTCATGCATCTGTATTCTTTCACAATAATAAACCTTGAGTATAATCACTTTCAGTGACTTCTGTGATTCCTTATAGTGAATTATCAAAACTAATCTTGGGAAACTCCCAAACATGTAATTAGTGTCAGAAGTAAACGTTGTTTGGTGAATACTGTACCTCTAATGTCACAAACTGCTATTTTCTTACTTTCTAAACCTTTTCAACATTGATTCCCTCATGGGGAGAAAAAAAATACCTCTTTTTAACCAGTTTCTTTCATTTGGATCTCAGAGATTTTTAACCAATACATTCATAGTTCAAAATAGCCGTATCACTGATTTAATAAGCCATAAATTTAGAGTAACAGAATTTCACTTTTAGAAGATTTGAGAGATCATCCATTACAACCTTTTCATTTTCTAGATGGGCAGCCTAGTGTGTAAAGAAAACTGTAAAGCACTTTATCAATGATGGCTGATATTCTCTTACGTATTCTGACTCCCAGGCTAGCATTCCTCAACCAACATCACATTATCTGTAATTCACATACACATTTAGGACTAGAGGCTTGAAGTATTTGTCCGTTTACCCCAGGGTCCTTACCAGTACAGCTGGAGTCAGGGTTGAATTCACTATCGGGAGCACTGGCTGATGTTTTGAGGGGTGAGGATTTCATCTCTGCTGTATGATCCTGGGAGTCCTCATCATCAGAGCCAGGTCCGACAACTGGTTTGCTCATATCCTCTAATTTGTGACACACCATTTGTCCTTTGAACCTTTCTGTAGTAATACAGAAAAAATGTTAAGGGACAATGCCATTGTTTTCAACTGTCTTCCATTATGACATGGAGAGAAATGCTTGAGGAAATAATTTATTCCTAGGCAGTAAAATACCAAATAAAGGGCAGTGAGCGTAGTACACCCTGGTTGCAGGCCATTAGGAGGTGCAATGTCTCTAGAGAATTTAAAAATAATTTTAAAAATCTATAAAAAGTCTGGCTGCTTTTGATTGCTGCCATGCACTGCCCTTTCCTACTGACTTGCCTTGGAAAACACCACTGTTCCTAGAATGGAGTTTGTTGTCCAAATTAACTCCTAGTCTCACCATTGTTTCAGACCCATCAGAGTCTAGATGGAATTCCAACATGTGGTATGAAGACGAGCCCCCACCTTTATTGTGGCCTCCCAAATCTTCAATAATCATCTTTTTACTCATTCTCAGAACAGAAATCTGCTTCTCTTCTTACTTATATGTTCCTTCTATGATGTTCTCTCTTTTTTACCACTTATCTCCTCATTCTTCCCCCTTTAAATTCTGAATATTTTGGCTGATTGTTTTTATATATTTACATTGTAACCCTGTATTTATCATCTTTTATGTTGACTTTGTACAAATAAATTTTATTTGTTTTTGCTTCTTCCATAGAAGAAAAGCAAATTTATTAGGAAAATGTGGACCAAATAAAGATTGTCATTGATAACACATTCCTGAGGGATAATGATAGCAAGACATTTGAGATTAAGTGTCTCATGCTCTACCGACTGAACCAGCCCAACAGTTGTACAAGATACCTTTTGAGTTGGGCATATCCATTTCTTCTATTGCAGTTGAAGAAATATGTGATTTAGTGACTTTCTTTCTTGTCCTTCTTAATTTTCTCATCCTACTGCCTTCTGTCTCATTATCTTCATCTCTTGAATCCTGTAATAGTTAATAAACAAAAAGTCCAATACAAGATCATGCACACAACCAAATTTGGTTGTCAAGAAAGTATGATTATTGGAGATCTAAATTTTAAAATTAATACAGGGGACCTTTATAACAAGGTAAATTTTGTCATTTCCACATCCAATGGAATAACTCAAAATTACAAATCCCAGCATTCCGCTCACAGGCTGGATAGTCTGTATCACCTTTCTCGTGTGATTTGGGAATTATCATGAAATAAATTAAGAACTTGTCCAACTAGTCAAGATTTCTATTGTTACTTTATACTCTGGGGTATTTTACATTATTTATTCCTAAATAATTTTGCCAAAGGCATTTCAAGCCCAAAAGTCTTCTTTTTCAGCATTTTTAATGTCTTTGACCAGAGCTATAATTACCTGAGATTTGATTCTCTTCTCTCTTTTTTTCTTACTCAAACTTATCGCATCCATATTTACTTTACTTCAAAAAAGCACTGCATTAATATTATTTTGTAACTGTGTTTTACAGTATAAAATGAATGTCATCCCCAAGCTGCCTTATAGCTTGATATGTAAAGAAAAACATTTTTAAACAAAATAACCAAACCTCCTACACTCTACCTATAATCTTTGAAAGGATCCCGTGATAGCCTCGACATGGCCTATTTCTAGAAGGGTCAAGAGGTGAAGAGCTTCATGGTCTTCATTACCAGAGGACAGACTCACCCCTGAGTCCCAGGACACAGACACCAATACTAAAACAAAACAATTAAAGTGTTGTGCTTTTTTTAGGCTGACACTGGTATGGTTAATGTTGTTATACAAAAACATTATGTTTCAAGGGAAAGAAAAGTGTCAGGGTCAGGGTCAGGGTCACACTACATTCTAAAATGTTTTAAGCTATTGTCTTTTTGAAGAGCATGTTCTGAGAAGTTTCATATCTGGGGGCAAGTTATATAAATACATGACCAGAGTCGCTGCTGAGGCTCAGTTGTCCCCATTTATCAATAAAGCCAGGGCAAGTCAGCTTCTGGAGACCGAAAGAAGGGGGACAACTTTTATTTTTGTAACATTCACCTGTCTTCAGATAATCCATACCAAAAAGAAAAGATTCTTAAGAAAACAACAAAGACAATTCAGCTAGTTACTAACCTGAGAACTGCACCAGTAAAACCCCAAGAACTAAATCACAGTACATGCCTCTAACTCCATAATAGATGTTCAAATCAAAAGTTTTTATCCGATTAAGATTACCTTTAGTTCAGTCTTTTGACTTTCTCTAATATACTAGGATAATCAGAGTATAGGCATAGCTATAATAACTGAAACAAATTTAGGTGAATCCCTGTTTTATCTTGCCTCCATTAGAGTATTTTTATTCTCCTTAACCTAATTACAGTCAGCTACAATATGAATGATGTTCCATTAAAAAAAAACCTATTAGCCGAGACCGGTTTGGCTCAATGGATAGAGCGTCAGCTTGGGGACTGAAGGGCCCCAGGTTCGATTCCGGTCAAGGGCATGTACCTTGGTTGCAGGCATATCCCCAGTAGGGGGTGTGCAAGAGGCAGCTGATCTATGATTCTCTCTCATAGATGTTTCTAACTCTCTATCTCTCTCCCTTCCTGTCTGTACAAAAATCAATAAAATATATTTAAAAAAAAAAAAAAAAAAAAAAAAAAAAAAAAAAAACCTATTAGCCAAGCCAAAACTGGTTTGGCTCAGTGGATAGAGCGTCAACCTGCAGACCGAAGGGTCCTAGGTTCGATTCCGGTCAAGGGCATGTATTGTACATTGGTTGAGGGCACATCCCCAGTGGGGGGGGGGGGGGGGGGGGTGCAGAAGGCAATTGATCAATGTTTCTCTCTCATCGGTATTTCTAACTCTCTCTCTCTCCCTTCCTCTGGTGAAAAATCAATAAAATATATTTAAAAAAACAAACAAAACTATTAGCCAGGATTCATGTGGTTTGGGTTCTAATTCTGACTTTTCAACTAAGTAGCAAGTCCTTCTGGAGCCTTTGTATTTTCATCTAGAATCACTACCATTTTATAAGCATTTCATAACCAGATAATATTATGTCTCATTCAGCACTTACAAAACATGCAGGGATCATTTGCTATTACCTACATTTTTGCTAAGGCAGAAATAGGTCCACAGGAGTTAAGTGCTTTGTTCAAGATCATATAACGGCCCAGGAAGAATGGGATTATTTAAGAAACTTCCCACATCACACAGCCTGACAGTTGAACTAGATGGAGTTCCAATTCTAATGTCATCTGTATGAGTCACAAAAACTTGTTCACTCAACTTCTTCAATTATATATTCTTTTACAGTTGTATTTTTGTTGTGTGTTTTTTTTTTTAACTGTGCTAATGGTTAAATATTTTGACCAACTTCTCTCAATACCATTCTAGATGCCACTGCTGGGGAAAAATTAGAGTCACTACAGATATCACTCTGCCCAGGGGCCCTCTAGAACTTCTGTGTACTCTGAGCAGCATTCCAGACTTTTTGAAATCTTTTATGTGGTCATTGAGAAACTTCCTTTTCTCCTTTACTCTCTACTTTATACTGTAATTGCCAATGTTTTAAAATTATAAAATTTAACGTAAAAATCCAGATTTCTGCCATTCTTTAGAGATTTGGAAAACTGGCATCACTGGGACCATATTTTGTCATGCAACAACTGGCTAGAGCCACATGTTGACTCCTTCCTGGAAAGGGATGTCCTCTCTGGTGTTCACCATCTAGCCCATGGTTTCTCTTCATTTTCTGCCTGGAATTTGAGTTTGCTAACACTGAACAACCCGAATCACTTTCTTTACCACATGGAAGCCTTCAATTCCATCACAGTACTTTATTGTAAGACTAGAGGCCCAGTGCACAAATTTGTGCACCAGTGGGGTCCCTTGGCCTGGCCTGTGGAATGGGGCCAAAACCAGCTGTCCAACATCCCCTGGAGGGTTCTGGATTGTGAGAGAGCACAGGCCAGACTGAGGGACCCCACTGATGCATGATCAGGGCAGGGGAGAGACGTTGGAGGCTGGCCAGCTGGGGAGTGACTGCAGAAGGGCTCCAGGGCATGTCTTGCTTGTCTTGCTCAGTCCTGATTGGCCAGACCCCAGCAGCAAGCTAACCTACCAGTTGGAGCATCTGCCCCCTATTGGTCAGTGCACATCATAGCTAGCAGTTGAATGGCCTTAGCATATCATTAGTATATTACACTTTGATTGGTTGAACAAACAGACACTTAGCATATTAGACTTGTATATATAGGATTCTTCATGAAAGGGATCATGTTTTATTTGTTTTTATGTCTTTGCTTTTGCCTTATCCATAACAGGTTATCCATAGTCCTCATTATTTGAATTGATAAAATTTAAACTGGTAGAGAGTTAAAATGGTTGTAATTACTACAAAGGAAAGAGTTATAAAAAAATAAAATTGTAGCCCTGGCCAGATTGGCTGAGTATATAGAAAGTCAGCTCTGGTACTAAAAGATCCCAGCTTCAATTCTGGTCAAGGGCACATACCTCAGTTTTAGGTTCAATCCAGGACCTGTTGGGGAGCATGCAGAAGCAACCAATTGATGTGTCTCTCTCATACCAATATTTCTCTCTTATTGTCTCTCCCCCTCCCTTCCACTCTAAAAATCAATGGAAAAATATCCTTGGATGATAACACTTTTATTATACCTACTGAGTCAAATCTCTTCTAAATGCTCTCTATATATTAATGCATTTAGTTTCAAACCCATCCCTTGAGATAGATACATTATCATCTCCATTTTAGAGGTGAAGAAAACTGAGTAAAAAAAATAAAAAATAATATCTTACCTAATAAAAGAGAAACATACAAATCAATCAACACTCCACTATGCCCACAGCCAATCAGAGTGAGTATGCAAATTAAACCAACAAAGATGGAGGTTAATTTGCATATGCAGGCACAGAGCAGTGTGAAGCCTGCTATGAGGGGAAGTGGGTGGTGGAGAGGGCTACTGAAGTGGTGCTCCAGACAGAAGCCAGGACTTGCTGGCTCTGGGCAGCCTGGGAGTGGGGACATGCTGGCTCCTAGGTGGCCGGGGAGCAGGGAGTTGCCAGATCCTGGGCCACCAGGAGTGGGGATGTGCCGACTCCAGGTGGCCTGGGAGCAAGGAAGTGCTGGCTCCCAGGTGGTCAGGAGTGAAGCCAGGGGCCTATTCTTACACAAATATTGTGCAACAGGCCTCTAGTGTGTGTGTGTGTGTGTGTGTGTGTGTGTGTGTGTGTGTGAATTTACCTCAAATCACATATCTTTTAAGTAGGAGAGTTAGGATTTGAACCCAGGCAGTTGGCACTAGAGCACAAGTACTTAATGTGTTCTAAATGAATACTGTCAGTAGGACTGCCCTCTGGGGAGCTGTGGTGCTAGGAGGCTAGAGCAGAATTCAAGAGAGCTCCTGCAGGGCCAAGTATTAACTCTTTAGTGCATGGATTGTAGACAGGACTAAGGGCCTTAGATCAATGGTCGGCAAATTCATTAATCAACAGAGCCAAATAGCAACGGTACAACTATTGAAATTTCTTTTGAGAGCCAAATTTTTGAAACTTAAACTTCTTCTAATGCCACTTCTTCAAAATAGACTTGCCCAGGCCATGGTATTTTGTGGAAGAGCCACACTCAAGGGGCCAAAGAGCCACATGTGGCTCGAGAGCCAAGGTTTGCCGACCACTGCCTTAGGGGAATAGTAGGACAGCTAGAGCAGTTTGGAAATATTTCTCAAGCAATCGGCAATACAGTTGCAGCTGAAAGGTCTTCTGGTTGCACGTTTGTGCTGCACAAGCAGTGCCTGGTGCATAGTAAGTACTAAATAGATGTTAGTCCTAATTGTTATTACCCAAGCACCATGCATTACTGGGGGTCTCTGTTTGGAAGATACCTTATGTTAGGTTACCTCATGGGCCCCTAACTTACAGGAGATGGGCCCCTAACTTACAGGAGATAGCTCCTATTAATTTATAAATTCT